ATAAGAGAGAGAGGAAGGAGAGAAACCCGCAGAGTGTGTCCAGACAACTCAAGATGTTTCGAGAGAAGGAGAGAAATAAATGTAACCCTGATGAAGGAGAGGACTTTTATTTCCCTATTATTCTGAAGAAGAAGAAAAAAAAAATCCCAAAGAGCTTTGTATGTTGGTGGAAAAAAAAAAGTTTTAGAGCAGGAAGAACCTTTGCGGTTTCCAAATACTGGGAATTGGGATAATAATAATAACAACCGTGAAGTTGTAATTGAGCTTTTCTAGTAAATACTTACTGACTCAGGTTCTGTGTCAGACCCTTTGCATTTCCTACCACCCTCTAAGATACACTGCTATCAATCCCATTTTACTAAAAGGAAAACTGGGGCTTGACATGTTAGTCAACATGCTTTAGAACATAGAGTCTCAAACTCCAGTGTGCATGCAAATCGCCCATTGTGCTAAAATGCAGATTTTGATTCAGTGGGTCTGGGCTGGGGTCTTGCGATTCTCCATTTCTGATGTGCTCCCAGGTGCTGCTGATGGCTGCTGGTGATAGAACCACACCACGGGTAACGTGAGTCCAGAGCAAGTCAAGGGGATGGTCCTGAATACCTGGCCTGGCTGATGAAAAGCCCAAGTTCTTTCTACTGGGCCACGTGTGCTCCCATGTTCTTGGTGGAGCCACAGGTTAGAAAACCAAAGTGAAAGAGAACCTCCGGGAAGCAAGGGAGGAAGGAAAACAGCCATCTCTCCTGCTCTCTTGCTAGAAGAAACCTGAGGAAAGTGAGCCAAGGCATGTCTGTAGCACAAGTTGTATGCTTCTTATCAGCCCATCTGAAACACTGAGATGCTTGCATTGAACCAACTCATAGTCTGGGCCGGGCTTGCTTTTCTAGTCATGATGAGACTCGGATCCCAATTCACTGTTATTTAACCTCGCTGTGATCCCTGCCTCTGTAGTATATGCAACACATCAAAGTTAGTCCCACATGTAGACCATGAATGGAAAAATAGACAGCTGACCTTCTTAAAGTTCAAACAGAAAGCTTGCTCTCTGCATTAGTGAGGTGTGATTGCAAGACAGAGCACTGAGATTTGGGGGTTAGATACAGCTGGGCTTAAACCCTGGCTCTGTTATGCATTAAGTGTGTGATCGGAGCACAATTTGAACCTATACCCTCCTTTCTAAAATGGAGAAAGTGCTGTCTAATTTACAGGGAGGCAATACTGCACATTGGTTAAAAGTGTGGCCACTGGAAAGATTAACAAGAATTCAAATCTTAATGCCATGAACTTCCTAGTTGTGTTCTTAACTAAGCCTCAGTGTTTCTCATCTGTAAAATGGGGAGAAGGGTATGCCTGCTTCTTAGGGTTGGTATGAAAATCAAATGGGAGAGTTCATGCAAAGGTCAATACATGTTAGCTCTTATTATTAACAGTAGTGTTATTATTATATTGGGGCTTTTGGGAAGATGGATTGAGATACAGATGTGGAGTGCTTTTATGGAAGGTGCACTCCATACATCTTTGTTTTGCTTTTCCCCACTGAATAAATGAAACAGGCAACTCTGAGGTTACTTGATGAAGTTTGCTGATGGAAAATGTTAATAAAGCGAGCGAGAGAGAAGCATCTTAAGCATCTAGGATTTAGTAATAGTAATTTAGTCTGAGGCATAACTAAAGAATAAAAGGAATCACTGAAAAAAAAATCTGTCTTGCACAGGAGGAAATACCAGAAGGATGAGAATGCTGTCAGCAAGGGAGTGCTTACGTAGACAGATTCTGCTGGCTTCCCAGCTTCTCCCTGAGCTGTAAGGGGCTCTCCACACAGCGCTTGCCTGGTACTGAAGCAGCTGGGTAACATTTCCTGTGGTTTCGAGATCAGCCAGCTCCAGGGCTATTTTGCAGAGGTGTCTGCCGATGGGCTTTATCCATGCTGTCTTAAAAGGCCACGATTTCAACTGCTGGGTCTTCAAATCGTCTTTATCCAGACTTACTTAAAATTTTTTTGTTTTATTTTGAAGAATACAAAAATCATTAAAATTCGTATAAAAGCATAATCCAATTTTATCATTAATAACTGGAACCAAACAGCATTTAAAAAAGATCTTTGGAAGAATAAGTTGTACAAAGTGCAGCAACTATTCCATCATTTTAGTTCTAAGCACCCATCCATTATGTAGCTTTTGTATTGTAAATAAAATGAAATGTACATGTCTCTGTCTTCCTGGAAATTTCAGTAGTATAGAGGAACAAATACATTAAGAGTGAGAGTAAACTAAAAATTTCTTAAGCCAGAGGAGAATACAGTATCATCTCAGAGGGGAAAAAAATCATACAGGGAAAGTTATGGAGGATCTAACAGATGAGTTCATTCTTAAGGGTTAGATAGGATATAGAAATAAATGATCGTCAGAATTCAATCTGCAAATTTGGATTTGCAAATTTATGTACACTAAGCAATATACCAACTCCTGGAGGCACAGGAGTATTTGAAGATAAAGATCCTTATTTAGCAATAACCACTAATTTCCATTATGGGCTAATTCCACGGAGTTAGGCACTGCTCTCAATATGATCCTTTTCTGGATGCTGGACTGCCGAGATGGAGAATGAAATGAGTCCCTGACAGGTTAAGTGTCAAAGAGTTGATCATTTCATCATCCATCAAAATTCACATCCCAGACTAATAATATAAAATTGCCTATTAGCCCTAAACAACATGCTGTTTCTCTCCTCTGTGCTTTTGCTCAAGCTGTTTTCTCTGCCAAGAATGCCCTTTCTCTATGTCTTTAACCTGGGTAACTCAACACAGTGGCAAGACATGTGACTCCACGGAGAGGGTCATTCCTGTCTTATTTGTGCTTCTGTAGAGCCCAGGACGACCTCTGTCCTCAGAGCTCGTGGCACTCGCCTGACTTCTCCCTTCACCATAAGCTCCTTACTTTTCTATCCCTCGTGCCATGCACCATCCTCAACACATCATAGGCACTCCAGTCTGATACTGTTTATCTTTTACTAGGCAAATATAGTCCACTTACATATTCTGTGATTTATCGACATATTTGGCTTTATTTTTAGTTTCATTTTGGACTATTTAAACCATTTTCTATGCTTTATTTTTAAAATTTTCTTTTTGCCTTCTTTTGGATGGATTTTTAAAAAATTCCTTTTATTTCCTTTGTGATCTGAAGGCATACATTTTATTTCTACTGCATTCTATTTTGGTGGCTACACTTAAGATTTAAAAAATGCCTATTTCACTTTAGAAAGTCAAGTAAGTTAGCACCTGTACTCTCCATCTAAACAGTACAGTGGCCTTAGACTGTTTTAAGTCTTGTCATTTTCATTTTGCATATATTACCCAATATCTTAGTTCACCTTTAGTATTATATTATGTTTATTTTTAAATCAAATTTACTTCTGCTGAAGTACAATTAACCGTCTGTGAATGAGTCTAATTCTGGACTTTCTGTTTTGTTCCATCGATCCATTTGTCTATCCTGACTACTAACATGCTTTCTGTTACCATTGCTTTATACTAAAGCTTTTAATCAGGAAGTATGTCTTCCTACTTTGTCCTTTTCTTCTAAATTGTTTTGGCTCTTCTAGGCCTCTTAAACTGCCATAGACATTTTAGAATCAACTTGTCATATTCACAAAAAAGTTACTAGGGTTTTGATTGATTTTTTGATTGAAGTAGGGATCCAATTTTATTTTTTTTAAATGTAGATGAGTGTTTTCCCAGCACCACTTAGAAAAATCCATCCTGGCTGATTTGTGCTTCCACATTTATTATAGATCAAATGTACATACATATATGCATTTACTTCCAGTCTATGTATTCCATTTCATTGATACTTTCATTTTTTCTCGTGCTAATAATATACTGTGTGAATCATGACAACTTTATAATAATTACAGGTATCTTGTAGGAGCCATCACCCCTCCTTGTTCTTTGATTTTAGGATTGTTTTGACCTTTCTTAGCATTTTTATTTTCCACATTACCTTGTCAATTTCTACAAAAAAAAAAAAAAGAAAACCTGTTGGTATTTTCATTGGAATAACTTTGAATCCTTAGGTCAATTTGGGGAGAGTGAATACCTTTATATTAAAATTTTTAATGCATTGAGCCTGCTCTGTCTCTTCATTTATTTAGTTCTTCTTTAGTGCTTTTGAATATGATTACAATTTTTTCTCCATAAATATTTTATACACATTTGTTAGATTTATTATTATGTACTTTATATTTCTAGAAGTTATTGTAAACAGCAACCTTTTTCTTCAAGTCCCTGAATGTTGGTTAATAGAAATGCAAATGATTTACTATTCTGATTTTATATTCAGCTAAATTCTCATAATTTAGGAAGATTATAATTTTACTATCTAGTTAAAGAGTTTTTTATTTTGTCCTTTCTAGTCTATACACTTTTATTTTCTTACTGCATCAGCTAGAACTTCTAATACAATGTTGAAAAGACAAGATAGTGATAGAGGTCCCTTGTCTTGGTGGGACCTAACAAGGAGAGCTTTCAGCATTTTACTAACAGTTATGTTTACTTTCCATATCCTTAGTGATATACTGACCTAAGCCTGTTCAGTCACATGCAGGGCTTAGAACAGGTTATATAAGCTATTTTGAATCTGCTTATAAATATTTGTTTAATAAATGTGTATAATTGTGGTTAAATTTGGTATGAGACTTGCTTTTCTTTGAATGAATATTAATGTTCAAAAAGTGTTCAAAATCTACTGAGTTGATCATATAATTTTTCTCCTTCTATCTATTAGTGTGTTAAATTACACTAATTGATATTTTAATATTAATCCAATCTTACATTCCTGAGATAAACTGAACTTGGTTATCACCTATTACTTGTTATAATTACTATATTCAATTATATGAGAATTTGTTTAGGACTTTTGCATCTATCCTCATGAATGAGATTGTCCTGTAAATTTCCTTTTGAATACTATCTTTCTGAAGTGTCAAAATCTGCTTCTCAGACATTACCAGCACCACAGCCTGTTGATGAGACAAATCTGACGATTTGATGAGACCACTGCTTGCAGCCGTACAATAACGCCAGCTCTGCGAAGCTTCGACAGTGCCTGTGAGAAGAGAAAGGTAAGGGCAGGACTTATTAAATTGAAAGTCTGATTTAAAGGCAGGTCTTTTAAAGGAGGTAGAGCTGATTAGGAGGGGGCAAACATTCAAGATCCAGTGGTCTAGAATTGGTGGAAAGACAGAGGAGGATTCAGAGAATCAGGGTGTCAACTGTCTGTTGATGTTTGACACTGAGGAATTGATGAGTCTTCGGGAAATTCATATAATGAAGAATCAAATAACCATTTGCCGAGCAGAAGACTCCTGGAAGAACAAAAACATGCTAATGAGTGCAAAGAAACTGCACAAGTTATGTTAGCACACAGAGTAAAGTGTGGTTTGGTTCAGTGTCCAGGTTAAGCATGGGAGTATACTGACTCTGAGTTCAGAAGTTTGGTGTCAAAATCGTGCTAGATTCATAAAGCGATCTATGGAGTGTTCCTTCATTTTCTATGCTATGGTATATTTTGTACAAGGTTAGGATTATTTGTTATTTGAGTATTTGGATGTTCATAACTTTTTAAATTGTCTAGGATTGGTGTTTTCTTTGTGGGAAGGTTATTTTAGCATTCATTTCATTTCCCTATTTCATTTTTTTCTTTTTTAAAAATAAACTTTACTGTTTGAGCAATTGTAGGTTCATAGCAAAACTGAGAGAAAAGCACAGAGAATTCTCAATATACCTCTTGCCCCTGGCCCTGCCACCCCAAATAGCCTCCCCCACTATCAACATCCCACACCAGAGTGGTACATTTATTACAGTCAATGAACCTACATCGACACATCATTATCCCCCAAAATCCATAGTTTACATCAAGGTTCACTTTTGGTGTTGTACATTCTATGGGTTTTGTCAAATGTATAATGACATGTATCCGCCATTATAGTGTCATACAGAATGGTTTCACTGCCCCCAAAAACCTCTGTATTTCACCTATTCGTTCCTCCCTCCCCCTTAACCCCTGGCAACCACTGATCTTTTTGCTGTCTCCATAGTTTTGGCTTTTCCAGAATATCAAAGAGTTGGAATCATACAATAGGTAGCCTTTTCAAATTGGCTTCTTCAACTTAGTAAAATATGCATTTAAGTTTCCTCCATGTCTTTTTTTAAAATTTTTTATTGATTTATAATCATTTTACAATGTTGTGTCAAATTCCAGTGTTCAGCACAATTTTTCAGTCATTCATGGACATATACACACTCATTGTCACATTTTTTTCTCTGTGAGTTATCATAACATTTTGTGTATATTTCCCTGTGCTATACAGTGTAATCTTGTTTATCTATTCTACACTTTTGAAATCCCAGTCTATCCCTTCCCACCCTCCACCCCCCTGGTAACCACAAGTCTGTATTCTCTGTCTGTGAGTCTATTTCTGTCCTGTATTTATGCTTTGTTTTTGTTTGTTTGTATGTTTTTGTTTTTGTTTTTTAGCTTCCACATATGAGTGATCTCATA